TAAGCAAGTGGCATCCCCTCCTCTGTTTTGTTCTAGCTCCTCCCCTAGAAATTACAGCATGCATTAATCAATATTAAAAATATATATCGCCTTTTGAGATTATGTGTGTCCAACTAATTAAGTGGACATGTTGTTTCATACTATATTTGTATGAAATATATTCGTATAAGAACAAAGATAAGAAAGATAAGAATTGTTTATCAAATATAATTAGAAATAACCATCCCATAAGTCACTTATAGTTTGATATTCCACCCTATAAGTTATTTTGTTGCAAATACCCATCCCTACTCAATTTTGTTGCAAAAACCATCTCAATGTGCACATACACTTAATCAAATAAGCATGTTATTGTTCGTATGGAGCCGCCACAGGCTAAGGTAGCCGAGTCAATCTTATCCAAGTGCTTGCGTTAGATTTATTCTTCATGTTTCATTGTTTTTTTTACATATAGCGAAACTCAGACGACAACGTTTAAGCTCTTATCAGCAATTCAAGTTATGTAATCTCAAAAAACAAATTGTTGAGACTATACTTATAGAAGTATTTAATTAAGTTTGGTAGAAACCATATTGACAGCTCATAATTTATGAAAACACGTTGATTCGGTTAAGCACGTAAGTACTAGGGTGGTTTTTCAATAAAACTAAGTAGGAGGCTAGGCATTAGCAACAAAATAAGTTATGAGGTGGAATGTCAAACTTCAAGTGCTTATGGTATGGTTTTTTAATCTTTTTCAATATAATTTTATAAGTAAATTTCATAAAACCTCATGCATCATGGTCCACATTATATAACTAAGTATTAAGGTTTTAAAGTTTCACAAAACCATATTGTTAACCAATTTAACATGCTCCTACATCAAAATCTCAAAAAAACTACAGTTATATGGATATAGTATTTATATGATGGATAAATAAACCATAAATTTGAGATGTAATTGTGAGACTCAAAAGTATGCAGATCAAAATCAAAATGATCAATAGTATAGTTTTGTGAAACTTTATAGGCATAATACCCGACGTTAAGTATTACATGCCAAAACCCTTGTGGTTTTGTACAACTTAAACCATATAATACCTATAGTCAGATGAAATTTAATCTAATTTTATTGAAACTACATGAACACGTAAAAGACCGGAGTAATATGGTACCATATATACTTGGTAGGGTAGACATCAGCCCCTCACCAGATGTTTGGAAGTAGTATTATAGAGCTTTTCGTAGTAAAATTAGGGGATTGTCCTAAGTAAAATTGGTGATGTTGGACCTAAAAGTACAACTCTTACATTCTACTTCTCTAGGTACAACGAAAATTTCTATCTAATAGATTTTTAAAATAGAACTAGATTTCATATTTTTTTAGATGATGGATTAAAACGGCCTCTACACCCCCGCTACTGGAGAACTGATCTTTACTGGTTGGTGCAAAATCCACAATAGTCCCGGTTCGAATAGGAACCGGGACTAAAGATCATTTTTAGCCCTGGTTAAAAAGCCCATGAAACTTTTTGATGTTTAGTCCCGGTTGGTGTTAGCAACCGGGACTAAAGATCAACACTTTAGTTTCGGTTGTTTATACCAACCGGGACGAAAGATTGAAAAGAAAACTGTAGCCGCACGCCACCCCTTACTCGTCCTTATCTCCTCACGGCGAACACGTGACCCTCTCTCTCTCTCTCGTCCGCCCCCTCCCTCCGCCTTATCTCCTCTCCCTCCACTCCCTCCGACCCCTCCACCTCTCGCCCCCCCCTGCTCCCTCCTCTCCCTCTCGCCTCCCCCGCCCCCTCGCCGGCGGCACTCGCCCCCTCCTCCTCTCCCTCTAGTCTCCCTCCTCTCCCTCTCGCCTCCCTCCCACGGCGGATTTGGTGGTGGTGACGGCATCTTCGGCAACAGTGGCGGTGTCTCTGGTGGCAGTCGTGGGCGGATCTGGCTGGATCCGGGCCACGGCAGGTACCAGCAGCCGCAACAAGCAGATGGTGGGGCGCGGTGGGGAGAAGAAGAATAGGAGTGGCAGAGAGGATGAGGTGAAGGGGCGGCCGGCCGTGGTGGTGGCAGAGCAGATGCTGCTCTCATGATTTGTGATTGTGTTCATGATTTGTGATTTTGATTTTTTTTTGGTTCATGATTGTGTTCGTGGATGAGATCTCATGGGTGATGTTGATGATTAATGTGTTCTTGGATGAATGGATGATGGTATGTGAATCTGTGATCTGTAATATATTTGTTTTTGAGAATTTGTCATGTATTTGATCTGTATTGTGAATATGTGATCTTATATGTGAATCTTTGATTTAGGAAAATCAATATGCAAGCAGTAAAAACAATGAAAAAAAAGAAAAAAAACACACCACCAACCGGGACTAAAGATACCCATCTTTAGTCCTAGATTCGGGGTCCCGATTTGTAACCCGAGATTAAAAGGAGGTTGCAAATTAGGACTAAAGCAACTTTCTCCAATAGTGCCCAAAGGATGTACATAGCCTATTAGATTTCATATATAACTTATATGTTGGAGTATTTTGTAACCTAAACACACCATGTGGTAATAACAATACCTAACTTATAGTCAAGTCTCCAAAAATAAGTGAGATTGTGCCTGTAGACAAGTGGCCGAGTTGCTGGGATGCATGCCCTGCCTCTTGTGAGAATTTTGCATGCAAGTCAAGAGCAGGCCAGGTCATTGGTTCAAGTCATATTCTCAATAGTTGCAAGGCAACAGGGAATAGTATCGCCACGTACGTAGAGTAGAGACATACGTACTACGACGTGATGAAAACCACGTACGAGAGGACGACGACGACGCCATGACGAGACGACCCGGTGAAAAACGGAGAATCTCTCGATCGATCGCTGAAAAAACGTTGTGCGTGCGTCCGCCCGCGCGTTGCGTGTCTCCGTGACGCATCCCGCAGCACGTCACGCGGAATGACGTCCGTCGCTTTGGCTTTGGTTTTCTCTGATCCCTCCAGAATTTCAAGTTCTCTTCAAGGTCGCCGTCAATTAATTTTCTTTTCTGTTTATTCGGTTAACGGGGAGTTTTCTCTTCTTTGTCAAGTAACTGCGTAGCTTGTAATTAACCAACCGCCAGAGAAAATGTTACATTTTCACATGCGGTTGGTTAATCCAGCCGTCTCTAGAAATGCATTTTTATATGGTTGTTGTCTTCGATAAATATCTGAGTATAGTAAAATGTATACGTACCTAGCTCTTGTGTTTTGTCTTCTCTTTCGGATATGCAAGTTAGATACAGAGAGATTTTTATACGGGTTTGAGTCCTCCTCAAAATAGTAAATCTTACATCATGTTAGGATTGATAAATAATAATAATATGGTTATAAGGATATGTATGGAAATCATTTGATCTAATAGGCTAAGCCTCGTAGGAGATTCTAATGAGATGGAATGCAGGAGGGTGGTCAGTGGATCAGTCATCAATAACTCCTTGGTTGGTGTATGGCTCGATTAATGATGGATAGTAGGTGAGTTGATTCTAGGCGTGAACCTCACTTGGGGCCATATATTTAAACCCTTGGATCACTTCAGTATTTGGGAGGGACATATTTGTAATCCTTAGCATAGTCTTGGCTGAATCCTAATAGGTATTAAAGATCTTTCCAAAGTAGGTCTTGTATTCTTTATCTGTTCGGGTTTCTAGCCCCATCTGGGAAATCCTTAAGCTTACCAAACGTCATCTTACGACAATAGTCTCTATAAATGAAATTTTCATTTTTAGAGCTTATAACGAGTATCTTAGACCCCTGAACTATGTAAAAACCTAAAACTACAAACTTTGTCGAGAGATACAGTTTTCATATAAAGTTTTTCTTCATCTAACTTTATATGAAAATATATATCTATATATTTAAAGATAGGAATGTTTAATTTTCAAAGGTGGTTCTCCCATAGAACCGTATCTGAAAAATGATTTTCATATGCAGTTTTAGACCACAGAGCGTACTCACGGGCAAGTCTAGGAGTTTGATGTTTTTTATTAAATGTGAAGGGGTAAAAGAAAATACTACCAAAAGGCTAATATTTGACATGTATTACTCCCTCCGTTTCACAATGTAAGACTTTCTAGCATTGCCCACATTTGTATAGATGCTAATGAATGTAGATATTTCATTAGCATCTATATGAATGTGGGTAATACTAGAAAGTCTTACATTGTGGCACGGAGGAAGTATCACATAGTATTAATTATATAATATATAGCGTATATATTATGTGTTGAATAATGCCTCTTGGGTTGAATACAACCTACTTTTTGTCATTTTCATGCACATACACATCACATATTGTATATATGTTTTTTTATCAAAAATTTTGGGTATTCACATTAATAACCTTGACTTGATATATATGGGCTGCCCTTGGGCGCACTCGCTATTATCTCAAACGGGATTTCCTTTATGATCTGTCTGTAGAAATAAAATTAAAGTATGTGGAAATTTGGTTTTTATTGTGGGTAGTAAATTCTGATCTTTCTACTAAATAGGATACACATGGCCATATTTTACATAGTACTTTCTAAAATGTTAAAATATAATAACTTCTAATGCTTAAAAATTTATCCTAGAAATTGAAACTTCTTCACCTACTCACTTATTTGAACCAATCACAACTATCTAGTTTTCCATCTCTATTAAAATAAACATTATAAATTCTTATATTTATGGATAAAGGGAACAGAGTAGTGTGTTTTAGAAGTTTTGTGAGGTTACGGTGTTAAAAGCCTATGGAATGTTTTTAATTTGTTAAGGACATTAATAAAGTTTTGGTGGTATATATTGGTTCCATTTCAATCTTGATGCTAAAATTTTTCCCTACACAATAATTCATATTAAAAGTTGCGACAAATTTATACTAAGATTATAGATTTACGTATTGCAATATTTAATAATTTATACATTATATAAGTTTAGCTCGCTAACAAATAAAAAGTGTGTTCGGGGATCGCTAAATAGAAAAGCAATAAAACTATTAGGCAACTGACGTATAGCAAAAGCGGCATAGGTATATACTCACATTTGCGAATACATGTGTACATATACTTGCAAGCATTTTGGGATATATATACTGCCTACAAACTACAAATCAACGTTCTCAAAGAGAAAAAAAAAACAACTACAAATGAACAGGAATGTGTGGGATTTGATCCACAACTCTAGCGGCCACGGCGTTGGTCACGGCCTCCACGAACTCGGCGTCGTTCTTGAGCACTTGCACCACCTCCTCCACGAGGTGCCTCCTCAACTCCGGCGAGAGCACCGTGACGAGCTCGCCGGAGACGGCGGCCGCCTCGACGCCGCAGCTCGCGATCGATCCGGACCCTGCTTGGTTCGTCAGGTCGAGTGTGATCGTGCGGCCCGACGAGTTGATGGAGATGGAGCACGGCAGCGGCGACGACGACGACCCCCCGGCGTGCTGGCTCGTAGTGCAGCCGCTGGCGACGAATTCGGTTGTCTGCGTGGACAGGGCATGGTTGTGTTCTCCCTCGTAGGTCGCCACTAGCATTGACCTATCCTCCGCACATCTTTGGAGCTACATATAACATAGAGCCCGAGGTCAAAATTCAGCAATAAACTGAACTCCCTCCGTTCTAAAAAAAACCAACATAAGGGTCACATCCCCTTCTATACTGTTTTTATTTTGGAGACGGAGGGCGTACATGTTTTCGGAAATAAAACTTATAATAAAAACTCGATGGATGGGGAAAAATGTATCCCCACAGCCTTTTTTAAGCTAAGAAGAAATCTAAGTCAAAGCCACAAATAACCCGAGATTTTAAGGTTGATACCCCGTACACGAGGATCCGTTTACCATAGGTTGTTTAACATATGCTTTTTACGGGTAAGCTTGTAACTTTTTTTAACAACTCTGAAAATTCGTCACTCCTAAGAGAGGGAGCTGTCGGTAATTTCGGTTCATTGTAAATTGAAATTTGAAAAATTATATAACCAGAAAGGCAATTAAATTTTTTATTGTAAAATTTGAAACCTCGTGCGCATAGTAAGATTACTCGAAAAAATGCAATCATTTTCTGTTATGTTCATTTCTCTTGCTTCTGTACCTTCTTCTTGACGGGGCAAGACGGCGCGAATGCGCAGCGGAAGTAAGCTCTAGGGTAGGGGTTGTCACGCGTCACCTTCTGCCCGTACTTCCTCCATTGGTACCCATCCTTCACGGTCTCCGCCTGGCGATGCCAGGAAGGGGAAAAGATTCAGTCCAGATCATGCTCGAAATCGAGCGCCATGGCAATGCATTCAAAGTGTTCGATCGAGTTTTACCATGCTGTTGGCGTCGGTGGCGTCGGCGGCGTCGGCGCGCACGCGGACCGTCCTGACCTTGGGCCGTGGCTCCGCGGTCGGCGGCTGCTGTCTCGACGGACATGCCGTCGACGCGGCGGCGGCGGCGACCGCCGGTGCGGCGTCCTCCCTCGCCGCGCAGCTGGTGGACACGCTCGGCGCCCTTGCTGTGGCGGAAGGCGGCGGCGGCGACAGCGACGGCGCCAAGAGCGCGCGCTGGTGGGCGTGGTGACCGGCCAGAATGGCGTCGAGCGCTCGCGTCAGCCGCGCGTTCTCCTCCATCGCCCGCCTCAGCTTCTCCTCAAGATCCTCGGCCTGTACACACTCCCCAGCCACCACACCCACGCGCAATCACATCACACATGTTCGAATTAACAACCAACAATCCAAATCAGCCATTGACGACGACACGCAAAGATCGATCGATCATATCGATGGACGGACAGACCGGCGATCGGCTGAAGAGCGGCAAAAGCCCGGCGGCGGCGCTGTCGTCGGTCGGTGACGATGAGCCGTCGCCGTCGTCGTCCATGGCGGCAGCTAAGCTAGCTGCCCGGTGGGCGGGAGGAAGTACGGCGTGACAGCAATAGGGCACGTTTCTTATAGTGGCGCCGTACGTCGCCCGTCGCCGAACAGGAGGGGGACCAAAACGTGAACTTTGTGCGAGGATAATGGTGATCCACATATAAATTAAGCCCACAAAGGAGATTTTGGCATTCTCCCCCATTGACTTGACCGATTGTGCTCACTACGACAGCAAGTTGGCATCAGCAGTGACGCGGCTGACGCCCCCGTGCTTACGTGACCGAGCGTCTTACTCATGTGACTCATGGCCTCGTAGGATATCAAAATTCTACTTTTTCTTCTACGGAATTAATGTTTTACCTTCTATTATAAGACTTAAAAAAGACACGAATATTAGAGAAATACCTAATATCAAATAATTAAAAGAGATGAGGCTTTAAATTTAGGTCATCTAGCTCACCACCTTGTATAGCTAATCGGAAAACCTTTGGACGTTTCTTCCTTCTCTCGAGACTTACTAACTCCGCGTCAAAAAAGACAAATCCTTGCTATATATTTAGGCATGTATTATCTTTAGATACGTAGTCAGGATTTGCCTTTTTTCTAAAAGAGAGGAAGTATCTTTACTGTGCTGTGTGCTTTAAAGATGACAGACTGACGTTTACAGAAAACTTAATTCATTGACATCGAGCTTACAACGTGATGTCCAATATGTTCTTTTTCGTATATGTTTGTGTCAATACCAAATCAGGATTTAGTTCAATCCCCGCAATACACTTTTAAATGATGACTTTAATCCGGTATGTGGGATGTTAGAGCGGTAAATCTAAGAAGGTTAAGGTGATGTGGATGTACATCATTGATTCTGTACCTGAATATTGGTCACAAGCAAGGGGGCTTTCATAGAATTTTAATGAGATTAAGAATGTGTCGTTGGTTTCGTCCTTTCTAGTGTGTTTTAGCCTTTTAGAGGAATTTGCGGATATATGAGTGTGGTGCTATGTGTTTAGTGGTGTGTTTACATCTGCCGTGTTATAACAAAGGAAAAATCGAACTGAATGAATAAATAAGTGAATGATTTATAATAATTATTTAACGATTATAAAGTTCAAAATTAGATCTAAAATAGTTTTTTAGGAATTTATATATAGAAATATTTTATAATAAAAACTATGTTTAGAAGTTCTGGAGCATACACATTCTATGACTACAATCATTCCATTCCTGAAAACAAAAAGGTCAAGTCTATTTAGACTTTTTCTCCTTGTCTGTTGCTTGTCATTTTTTTTAGATAACCTCAAGAAAGAGGGCAGAAGAGATTTCATGCTTTATATTAAGAAGAAAAAAATATTTTAACCTAATTTATAAGAGAAATCGGGACTAAGAACCTTACATCTGCACAAATATTAATTGAAAAAAACAATGAAAAACAATGAAAACTCACATAAAGGGAAAACAACAAGTAGCGACACAACTACTAAAACCCGCCACAACTCATTGTTGCCAAGCTGAACAGAAAACAAACAAGCATCTCCAACTTCCTATAATGGGCAACAGACATAGCAAATACAAACCCCGATTTTGAAGTAAGACCTTCTACGTGAATCCTCTAAGGAGGATAAATCAAAAAGACTGTCAAACACCCATTTGAAACCAGACTAGATTATCACCTGAAAAACAAAGAGTTACTACTCCGATGCCTTCAACAAGAATAATGATGTCCACAGGGATAGTATTATCTCTAGTCAGAGATCGGGTGAGGCTTTCATCTATTTTCTTAGCATATTTATCTATTGAAAACATAAACATGTTGTGTTTTTCAGTATTTTCATTGGCCTTTAGTAATATGGTCATGTTTGGTTTATGGGACTAATCCATTAGTCCCTAAGAATCTAAACAGAGGTGACTAGGGATAAAAGTGTATATTGGGACTAAAATCTATTAGTATCTCTTAAAGGTATTTATAGGGACTAAAGTGGCAGCCTCTCTCTTCTCTCCCCCCTTGGTACATGTGCTTTTAGTCCCTGGATCAGATTAAAGTTTTTAGTTAGGGACTAATTTTAGTTAGGGAGGATCAAACAGGCCCTATGTTAGGCAATAAAGTATGTTAGGTCAGTTGACTTATTTCGCGTTAGTCTTTTTCTTGGGTTAGAAGAGTCTCGTACATTCCTACGCGCGGGATAGGCCTGAAGAAAAGGAACGGGGAAAACTGTGTTGATCCGCACGAATGGATAGCCACGACCACGTCTTGATGAAAGATCGATATGGATACGCATGCGTGGAACGAACAAAAACAAAACGTGTTGCCAACTAATCGATGCAGAGAAAGACCACTCTGTTACTAATTAATTTGTGCTCTCGTGTTAATCAATTCTCCCAATGTAGTTTCCTCGCGTTTTTGGTATTTCTCCCTAGTTTAGCTAGTAGTACAATACACGTGCATGCAGCACGAGGTTTAATTTCACCGTTTCCCTCTCTTTGACAGTAACCTGAAACACGGATTGACTGTACTCAACGACCATCTCCGTTGGCGTCAACTCAAATCAACAGCTGCACGTGAACGCCGCGTGTGGCACTAATTCACTAAAAGTAGAGGCATTGGCGGCGACAACGTGCGCGTGGACGCAGCCACAGCTGCTGGTTACTACCGCCTTTTTCGCAAGTTCCATTGACGACGAAGTCGACGACTACGCAGGAGAGGCCGTCGTCGTCGGAGAATCCGAGGTACGTGTCCGGCCCGCCTGTCGTTTCGCGACGGCCTCACCCTCGCGTAGGCCCGTAGCCGGAAAATGGCCCGTATTCTCATGGTTCGTTCCGTGAAACGGGGCCCGATCTATTGGTTGGCCCATCAATGCGTGCCTCTCCTGCGTTGGCTCACCAACCATGAATTTTTTTTATTTTTAATTTTTTTATTAAAATATTTACAAAAGTAATTTTGTGTTTCAAAATTTTACAAAACTAGTCGCCTGCCGCCCTCTGGGAGGGCAGAGGGCGATTTTCATGACGTGGCTGACCACCGTTAGCGCACGCCTAACGGCCGTCTATAGGTGACCTGCCATTTTGTAGGCGGCCCCCTCGCTGCCCTTACGGAGGGTGGTTTACTACTGTGCGGGGGGCCGCCTGCAAAAGGGCGGTGAGGACCCTGGTTTTTTTGCAGGCGGCCCCCTTGCCGCCCTTACGGAGGGCAGTTTAGTACTGTGCGGGGGGCCGCCTGAAAAGGCGGCGAGGACCCTGTTTTTTTGCAGGCGGCCCCCTTGCCGCCCTTACGGAGGGCGGTTTGGTACTGTGCTGGGTGCCGCTAGCTTTAAGAGCAGCCCTCAGGTGTTTAGCTCGGTGCATTTAGAAAATTTAGTAAATCATCACTTTTAAAATTGTGAAACAAGAAAAAACTTATTAGAATTGAATGTTACGTTGTTTCGGCGGTTTGGAGCCCAACAAAGGGTGTTTTTACACCGAAATATTTAATTGTTACTGTAAAAACTACATAAATCATTGTTTCGAAGTCGAAGGAGGAATAGTTTCAAACTACATAAATCTAACTATTTTGCACTTAAAATTTTACGAAATAGGTATTTTACATAAACCTGATTTTTAGCAGTTAAAATTAGGTAAAGTATCGTTTTGAAACGAACAAAGTACGTGCATTTTGACAAAATTTTAATAATTTAATTTTTCATATAAATTGGAGGGCTATGAGGGGGAGGGGGCTTGTTACCTATAAATTGTAAGTTATGCATAATTCTCATGTATGTTGAATCATGTACACAATTGAAGGTGGAAGTTATAAAAATATAAGCAGGTACATATAAATTATAAGGATACAACGTATCGTGGCGTCAAAGAAACTTTAGAAATCGGAACGATACAGTCACATTAAATTATAATTCGTGACGCATACAACAGCACAACATAGTAATTAAACATTATAATGACAAGATAGCATGGATGAAAGATACAAATTTGTCGGTCCTGACAAATCGAGCCTGAGCTTATCTACCGACCCCTTCCGCGTCGTTCAACATGTATTGCATTTTGATGGTCCTTCTCTCGCTGGTACTCTACATGTGTTTCAGACTCAGTTATCTTTTGACCATCATATGTAGGATTGACATTGTCGATCCATAAAGTGAATGCGCACCTCCTTGGATTGCCCTGAGAAACTGTTGATGAAAAAATCGAACACACCAGCCTGGGAGATCTGCTTAGCTCTTGTGCAGGTCCAAAGATTAATGAGATGGGGGCGTGCCAGTCAGTTTAATCTTGCAATTGACAAGATTTGCAAATAATAGATCAAACAGCCGATCGGCTGACAAGCCGATGGAGTAGTTACAGCCGATAGTCGATAATAGCCGATGCCGATACCAGTCGATAGCGATAGGGTTTAAGCAATTGGCTATATGTCTAATGTAAATAATGATATGAAGGCAACCGGCTGATGATGATGTAATAAAATAACAATATAATCCAGTAGAAACCAATCGGCTAGAAACAAAATATAATAAGCACTGATCCGAAGGTTAAAGCATACATCGGCTGGAGGTCCGATGTTATGAAATCCACAAGATTAGATTAAACAGTGAAACCTTTGTCGTCATCGGCTAAATCCAACTTATATGTATATGCAATCCTTATGAGACGATGCAACGTCCAGATAACTCACTGGCTGAAACCCCGATGAAACTCTTATTGGCAATCAATAAGCAGGCTAGAGATTATGGTTCTAAGCACGACTTAGTAGATCAAACTTAACTGATGCAGCACTAAGTATAAAAAGAAACACAATATTTAGACAATCAAGCCGTTGATTGATTTTCAGGGTGGTAGATGCCTAGGCTAATCTAATCTAGCAACGCGATTTAGCCGATACCGGCAGAAACCCTAAAGCGAGAGACAGCCGATAGAGCTAAATTGATATGCTAAGACTAGAATAACAGAGACATGATAAATGGGTAGGCAAATATATCATCCAAACCAGAGCAATCCAAGAGGTCGAATGTACTGATGCAGCCTTGAACGACACCAATGTAGATGATACAATTGCCTGGGCTGACGGAATATTGGACTTACCCTTTCGCCTGAGATCGAACACCGATGCAGCCCCGCGTCAGGTGCCAAGTCCCGCCGGACGATAAAAA